TGCCAGAGACTGCTAACTTGCAATCTCCTCGTGAAGAACAGATGTCTGGAGCCCTCATGGGTGATCTCAAGTCCTCTCCTTGTCTGGAGAGGAATTACGAAGAGCTGGTCTACTCACCAGCTCTTCATCCTGCCATGGTCATCGGCTCCACTTTTCGTGGAGCCATCTTCAGTCTGCCATTTCTTTCCTGGAAGTCAAGGATTTCAAGTCACTGGATCCAGGCTACTTTCCCTTGGAGCTCATTGAAATCCAATCTTCAGGAATCCAGTATGCAGGTCTGACTCTTCTTAATTCCTCCTTCTCTGAATATCATAAATTCAAAGGCAATATTATCACATCCCCCCAATGTACCAGACACCTTTACTTCATCAACCCATTCCTCCCTCTCTTGGTGAGAATTAGATGCAGGATAGCAGACCCCATTGTTCTTTCTTCCACCACCTGGCAAATGAAGTTGTCAGCAAGAGAGGAAAAAATTTTGTTGGCTATCTGACCTTTGGTAGAGTTTAGATTCACAGCAGGTGTCAGGATAATTGAAATCCCCCATTAGCACCATAACATGCCTCTTTGAAAGACTGGTCATGTGACAAAGAAAAACCTCATTTCTATTTTTTGCTTGGCCAGGTGGTTTGTAATAAACTCCCATGGCACTCTCTTACCCAAACATTTTCAATAGGATTTTCATGCTCCTATTACTGAATTTCTGTGCAAGTATGTATTTTTCTTTGCCAACAATACAGTACTCCAGTTTTTTGTTGATTATTTTAATTGTTGATCAAATCAAAATCTTTATTATGGCTGTAGACCAGCATAAGGAAGGTGGGGTATAGTACAGTCATTAAAAAAAACAAAGGATACATCAAGAGCAAAAATAAAAATCTAAAAAAAATAGGAAAAGCTAGAAGATATAAAAGATAAATGAATTAAAAAAACTAAATGTATATATAAAAAGTGAGAATCTAAAAGAAGGGATAGGAGCATTAGATGGGTGTAGGGGGGCATAAAAGGTTAGTATGTGGAAGACTACAAGTAATCCTCGCTTACCTACTGCTTCGTTTAGCGACTGTTCATGATTACAACAGTGTAAAAAAAAGCTTTGTGACCAATCCTTGCATTTACGATCATTACAGCATCCCATAGTCATGTGATCACCATTCAGGAGCTTTGCAACTAGTGCGCTATCATGACTGTCACAGTGGCCCACGGTCACATAATCACCAATCGCATGCTTTGCAACTGGCTTGTGACATGCCTAGTTAATAGAGAACATGGAAATAAAATCATAAGTCATAGTCACGTGATGTTTTGCTTAACAACTGTGGCGCTTTGCTTAACAACCAAATGGAAAGTAAGATCATTAGCCTGTCATGGTCACATGATTTTCCACTTAGCAACCTAATTGCTGGTCCCAATTGTGGTTGCTAAGCAAAGCCTATCTGTCTGTCTTCCAAGTTACAAAGCACTCTAATATGGCAAACTAGGTGCTCATTAAAACTACTTTATAGCACAGGTCATCATCTGATGAATTTTGAGCACTGCTGCTGCACAGAACCTGGCAACATTGTTGAGGAATTTTCCTGTATCATCCTTCAAGGATAGCTGAGGGGAGGACATGACATTGTGCCAGAGTAAAAGCCCTTCTGTGCTTAGGTACTTTGAGTTTAGTTAGATATGCCATCGGGGAGACAGAGTACTTGTTGGATTCATTGGCAATAAAGTTTGGGGTTCTGACTAGATCCAATTGGCATACTGTGTCTGCTACACGCTGTTTAATAAGTGCTTTGGCCTCATTATATCCCATGCAGAGTAGAAAACCCTGGAGAGAAGCCCAAGGATGAGATTTTAGTTGCCACTGCCTGTTTCCACCAGGAATTAAAATCATCACTAATAGTTAATGGTGCAAGGCCAAGAGGAAAAAAAATTGAGCCAATAGTTGAGTATGGTCACCCATACTCTAGCCTCCATTTTCATGAAGCCTGTCTCTAGTTGCAGCGTGGCATTAGAAACACAATTAGGGACTTGAAGAGTTGATCTTAAAATTTGGATTGTACAAGTTCTAATGGTGCAGAATTGAAGAAGGAGCCCAGCTGGGCATCATAGAGAAGTTGTGTTATTGGTTTGGCTTTGAATAATTTGAAAGATGTAAGATGGAATGTAACTGGCAAAGTGATCTGAGGGGAGATTTACAGCTTTCCCCGTTGTCATGGTCAGATCATGTCCAGGTGACCCTGAGTTTCTCCTATGCCATCCCCATCTGCAGGGAGGCAGGACCCATGTGACCGGTCCGCCCCTGGTGCCTGATGGACCCATCAGGGTTTCAGAGGAAGTTGGGGGGTATTCCTGAGAATCTGCTGCACAGTCCAGCTGAGCCCTTGGCTGCCTCCTGGAATAGAGAGGCGGCCGGGGCCTTGGATAGGATCGCACCTATGTGACCTCTCTTGCCACATTGGCCCCGATACTCCCCGTGGTTTGCAGAGGAGTTGAGGGTTCTGAAGAGGGTTAAGAGAAGTCTAGAGCGTTGCTGGAGGAAGACAAAGACTGAATCCAACTGAACACAGGTTAGAGCCGCTATTAAGGCCTACATTGTGGCGATAAAAGCAGTGAAGCATCAATACTTTTCTGCCCTTATCGCGTTCACAGAATGCCACCCAGTGGCCCTGTTTAGGATCACTAGATCCCTCCTTGGTAAGGGGGATTTGGTGATTCATTTGCAGGGCCATGCGGAGGAATTTTCAGAGCATCTGGAGGACAAAATCGCTTGGATTCGTTCCAAGGTAGACTCCAAGCGTGGGACAGGGTCTGGGGAGATACCAGGGGATCATTCTTACCCAGTTATCTGGGAACAGTTTGATCCTGTTGACCCTGAGGAAGTGGACAGGATCCTTTGGACTGTGAAGGCCACCACTTGCCATCTTGACCCATGCCCCTCCTGGCTAGTGAAAGCAGCTCAGGAGGTGACATGTGGTTGGATCCAGGCATTGGTTGATACATCCTTGCGGGAGGGAGTGTTCCTGGCTGCCTTTAAGGAGCTGTTGGTGCACCCCTTCCTCAAGAATCCCTCCTGGATCTCACTGTACTGGACAATTTTCATCCAGTCTCCCACCTCCCCTTTTTGGGGAAGGTGGTTGAGAAAGTGGTGGCATCACAGCTCCAAAAGGTTTTGGAGGAAATGGATTATCTGGACCTTTTTCAGTCAGGTTTCAGGCCCGGATATGGAATGGAAACGGCATTGGTCACACTTATGGATGATCTCTGGTGGGAGAGGATGGTGGAAGTACAGCCATCCTTACTCTCCTTGATCTCTCAACGGCTTTCGATACCATCGACCACGGCTTTGGGAATTGGGGGTGGCCGGCACGGTTCTGTGCTGGTTGACCTCCTTTTTCTGGGGCCGATCCCAATCGGTGGTGATAGGGAGCAAATGGTCCCATCCTCGGCCCCTCATTGTGGAGTGCCACAGGGTTCGGTTCTCTCTTCGCTCCTTTTCAACATCTACATGAAACCGCTGGGCGAGATCATCCACCATCATGGGATGAGGTATCATCAATATGCGGATGATACTCAATTATATATCTCCATCCCAGGTGAGGTAAGTGATGCCATGACTGCCCTTCCGCAGTGCCTGGAGGCTGTAAGGGTCTGAACGGGGAACAACAGGCTTCAGCTGAACCCTGGTAAGATGGAGTGGCTGTGGATTAATGGCTCCTCTGTATCCAGGACTTTGTCATCTTTGGTGCTGGATGGAGTTGCACTGCCCCAAACAGACCCAGTGCGTAATCTGGGGGTCCTCCTGGACTCACGGGTCCTGCTCAAAGAACAGGTGGCAGCCATGGCCAGGAGGGCCTTTGCACAACTTCGGGTTGTGCATCAGTTACGCCCTTTCCTGGATCGGGATGCCCTTCAAATGGTAATTTTTGCCCTTGTTATTTCCCATATAGACTACTGCAATGCACTTTACATGGGGCTACCCTTGAAGAGTATCCGGAAGCTATAGCTGGTCCAGAATGCAGCTGCACAGGCTATTTTTGGAGCCCCAAGAAGGGCCCATGTAACACTGTTGGTCCGTGAGCTGCATTGGGTTCCAGTTTGCTTCCAGGTCCAATTCAAGGTGTTGGTTATCACCTTTAAAGCCCTGCATGGCATGGGACCAGGTTACCTAAGGGACTGCCTCTTCCCCATGACTTCAACCCATCCCGCCTGATCACACAGGGAGGGCATGCTTTGGACCCCCTCAGTAAAAGAGCCCCGATCAGTGGGGTCCAGAAGGCGGGCCTTCTCTGCTGTAGCCCCTGCTCTTTGGAACATTCTGCCCCCGGAGCTGAGATTGTCCCCTTCACTCCTGGCCTTCCGGAGAGATCCGAAGACCTGGCTTTGCCACTTGGCCTGAGGTGGGGAGAGAAGACACCAAGTGTGGGAATGGCTAGCCTCTTAGAGGCCTGTCATCTGCAGCTCTGGTAACCATCAGCCTCTTGGACTTCTTCTTTTCTTTTGGTAATGCTTTGTATAGTTTTCATGTTTTCTGTAATTTTGGATATATTTATTGTTTTAATGGATTTTGTGAGCTGCCCAGAGTCCCCCATTAGGGGGAGATGGGCGGAGATAAATCTAATAAACAAACAAACACTGTTCTTCTGTGTTAAGGAAAGTAAAGGGCCACAGATCTGGAAATAAAAGGCATTGGATGCAGTTATAACTGTGATTCCTGGTGATCCCAAACATTTAGCACAATCTCATTCCTTGATCTGCATAGCCCTGACCTGAATTTTACTTCTTGATCAACTTAGAATGAGACAGATTATTGCAAAATAATTTTTGGTGGGGGGCACATATTTCTTTTTAAGCCACTACGTTTTGATCACTGTTACACTTAAGAGCTTTGTATAGTATATTCGTTATTTTAGTAAAATTATTCTCTTCTCTGTGTTGTCAGGACCAAACTCATTTTGTGTTCCATTATTTGTCTTAAGGCCAATTTCTGAATATTTTTCTCATTTTTTTAGGTGCAGTTACAATGTATATAAAATATTTAATTGTAAAGAAGCAAAATGATGTGACACATTTTGTTTCCCCTTGTTTCAACTTACTAACATTATATGTTGGAGTTCTGGGTTGTATTGGAATGGGCATTGTTGCAAGTTTTCAGGTACGTAACAAAGATACGTTTATATTGTATTTATTAAATTAATATTCTATTCCTCCTTCAGGTGGCTTACAAATTATTAAGAATATTATATGAGCATTAAAAGTATTCATAGCACCAGCTTTAAAATAACTTAAGTATATCAAGAGAGAATCAGAGCAATATAGTTATTTTCTTGTCCAGAGAAAGCATCAGCTTAAAAACCTCTATCAGAAGCGTCATATAGAAATAAAATAGAATAGTAGTTCCTGGAATGTAGTCACCTAGCTGGTAATTTGAGGCTGTTCTGTCAGCTGGAACGCTGTGCAATCAGATGCCCAATTCACCAGAAGCAACCTGTATATGTTCAGCAGATACTTCCCTCTAAACATGCCCCCCAAACAAGGACAGTATTGAGATCATGAGCTATCAGGATAAAATAAGCACATACATTTATCCTTTCTTTCATTTGATCTTAGCTGAATGGTGTAATAATGCCTGTCCTCAATAATTAATACTACAGTAGATATGCATGTTATGCAAAACACAGAACTCCAGGTTAATAGCACTGTTACTGGTAAGGATTTAGCCCTAGACAATGTTCTTCCTTTCAACAGGGTCTCTTCTGATGATTTCTGGAAATAAATGAAAGAAGCGATTTTGGAACAGATGACCCACCATTATGTAACAGGAATGAGATGGAATTTTTGGTATCCAATGGTATACTTCTTGTGGGAGGAAGTGATAGTTTCCAATTATTGCTTTCTAATCCTCCAAATCTGCTTCAGATAGTTAAGGGACCTTCTGGAACAGTTTTAAGGCTAAGCAAGGGGAGTATAAGACAGGAAAGATTACACAATATCAGCATTTGCAGAATTTTTGATGTAGCTCAATAAGTGGTAAATCAGATCAGTGTAATACTTTACGGTTTGGGACCTAGGCAAATTGGAGATAGCAATAATGAACTACATCCCTGAAGTGATATAACTGTACATTGTCTTATTCATTTCAAGACTACAGAAACCTTATTTATTAGATGCATGGGAACCATTTAATATGGGTCATGAAGAAGGCAAGATACACTTGGATTGAGTTGACATTTAAGCAGGATAAGAATGATGATATAAATTTAGGGTTTTGTTGAACTGTCTTCAACTGCAAATTGTGAACTATATTATGAAATCATTCACAAAGTATGACATAAATAAAGATGAGCTTTCAGTAAATAAAATCAAGATTAAAGGAAACATCTGTGTATAAGAACAGTCTGTGATAGCCAATATCATATTTGAACATTATATAAACTGAATAAGATCTTTCTCTCTCTGTTTGTGACTCATATATACTATGGGTATGTACACAATAATGATTTCCCCAGAGCCCTTGTAATCAAGGTGGTGTTCCCCCCCACCCCCAAGTTAGTGGCTTCTATTAGAGAAATCTGTCCTCTTCATAAATTATCATACAGGTAGTCCTCACTTAATAACCCTAATTGGGACTAGAATTTCTGTCACTAAGCACAGCAATCATTAAGCGAAGCATCATGTGACTGCACTGCTTAATGATGACAGGTCCAGTAGTCCCAGTTGCAGTCATTAGGCAAGGACATTACGCTTTTCCTGCCCTGTGTGAACTGCCAGCTCCTTCCTGCTGCCTCCTCCCCAGCCGGACCTGGTGAGGTCCCTTCAGCAGATGAGGCTCTACCACTCTGCCACACTCGCCTCCACTTCAACTCTCTCCACCTGCCTATCTTCCCCCATCTCTGCCCTTTCGGCTGCCCTGTACTCTGCCGCCGCCACTGCCTACCCCTGCCGTCCCCAGCTGACCTTCGCCATCATCTTCCTCCCACTTCCTCCCTTTGTGGGAGGAAGAAGACAGCAAGGGTCAGTGGGGGGAAATGGGAAGAGTGCAGGATGGCGGGGGGGGGGCAAAGTGCAGGGCAGCCAAAAGGGCAGAGATGGGGAGATTGGTTGGGGGGGAAGTTGAAGTGTACCCTATGGTTGTAAATGCAGGCTGGCTGCCAAGCTCCTGAATTTTGATCACATGACCACTGGGGCGCTGCAACAGCCATAACTTTGAAGACCAGTTGTAACTACTATTCATTCAGCACTGTTGTAGCTTTGAACAGTCGCTGAACAAATGGTCGTTAAGTGAGGACTACCTGTACTCTGGATTCCTGGAATGAGTAGATCAAGACTAATAAAACTATATTAGGTTTCTAATGTAAACAGATCTGGCAAAAACTAAATATATGGCATGGACCTATTAGATAAATCTGAAGGGCACTGAAGCCCTGAAATTGTGATGGAATGTATCTACAAGGAGAGATCAAGGCTATCTGGAAGGAGGGGGTGCATTCCAGGAGAGAGGAGAAGGCAAGAGGCAGTTGAGTCCGCAACAGGAGCGTGGGAAGTGAAAGAGGTTCAGGATAGC